GTTCCAGACCTTGGGGGCTCGGACAGTAAAGAAATTCTTCCTTATGTCCAGCCTGAAACGGTCTTGTAGTAGTTTATGACCATTCGACCTAGTTGTCAGCCTTTGGGGCGCTCTGGTGAACAAATGTTCCCCCAGATACTGGTGGTCACCCCTGATAAACTTATAGGTGGCCATCAGATCACCCCTGAGCCTGCGCTTTTCCAGGCTAAAGAGCCCCAGGGCTCTCAGCCTGTCATCGTAGGGTCTGCTTCCCTGACCTCTGATCATGTGCATGGCTCTTCTCTGGACTCTCTCAAGCTTCTCTCAAGTAACAAAAGACAACCAAAAAGACCAGATTATACGTCACACTGACTGCTCTCCGATCTGCTGATGATGGCTCAAGACTTAATTCATCTTATAAAGAATAATGTAATAAATTTACATTCCAAGATAGACACATATCAATAGCAAATGCAAAAATGAGGAACGTGCCCTTATTTCTTCAACAAAGAACATAATTTATATGGGGATGTTTGCTATTTTAGCAGACTGAGGTCCTAGGTAGATGTTGCACTTAAGAAAAAAACATGTCTTAAGTAGTAACTTGGCCACACTTTCATACAATGAATGGAGCGATAAAACAGGGATTAAGCCACAAAGTCATTACACAAAACATGTGTAGTAACTTTCTTGCGGGTTCCTGTTCCACCTTAAATTGAATACGTGGCCAGTGATGATTAGCTGATTGGTGCCTTGGAAGCAATCAGAGCCCTGAAAGACTCCCATTTGCTCCCGCAGCTGGGAGCATCTGTGCACTGGAGCTCTCCAAGACTCCGGTGTGTTCATGTTGGCTGGCGGTGCCAGTCAGCTGATCAGCAGTCCTGCCTTTGGAGTGCACTGGAGCCTTGAAGTCTCTGATGCACACCCGAGGCTAATTAGCTGACTGGTGCTCCCAGGCACAGGACTGAGAGCGCATCAGACTGAAGGGCTCCCATGTGCTCCTTCAACTAGGAGCACTGATCTGCTGACTGGCCCTCCCAGCACCCATGGGTGCACTTCTTGGTATTTGCTGGTGCAAGGGGAGCCAGCAATAGAGCACAATTGGGGTCTGATCCCTGATCCAACAATCGTGCCTCCTCCCATGCATGTGCGACGAGGCAGGAAGTGCAATTGCTGGGACTGTGCCTTTAACTGAATGTCTATCAGCGGCCTAAGTATTAATTCCCTAGCTGTACTCTAAGGCAAGCAGCTGGCTAACATTGCTTAATGAGCTGACGGCTAGGATTGACTATTTAAAATATATTCCCACAACGTTAGAACTTTTCTACTCAAAGAAATTAATTTAGATGAACTTATTTTACTGATTGCTACAATGACTATTGTTTTGGCAACCAGGCACTATAATTACAGAGAACACACACATACAAAATGAAAACAAAAACAGTAGACCCAAAGTGGAAGAGCAAATATGCTCTGCATTGTTGTTCTGAAGGTGAGTATATTTGGCCTCCAAAGGATGCCATGGAAAGTTCATTCCAAAGCATTCAACTTAGAATGTCCTGTTGCCAAATGTGAAAGACCAAATAAAATCAGGCAGCTTGTTGCACTGTCCCACTGTTCTGACAGTTAAGAGGTCTGGGGTGGGGATTTAATCTACATCTGCTTTGCTATAGTTTAAATCCATTGCCTCATGTCCTGCCTTTTGTGGCCAGGTAGACCACTTGCTCTCCCTCTTTTTTGTGGTAGCCTCTTAAATATTCTGTTGCTTAAAAAAGGTGACCCCTTATTTTCAGGTTCAGTTTTAGGAAGTACAGCTTTTCCTCTGAATGTAAGTTGATAACTATACATAAGAGACCTTGAAGAGCTATTATTTTTTACAAAATCCCAGAAAAGAATTAATTAACCAAGGAAGAGACCAAAGGATTAAAACACAAAATACTAAAAAGTGCACCCAAACTATTTCTGACTTGATATTTGTATTGCATGCACAAAAATAATGCAAATAGAAAAATGAAAACTATCAGGGAAATGATTATAGGTTGACTCTACATATAAACCAAGTGCAATATTTATGCTTCTTTTGAGGCAAGAGGAGAAGGATTATATTTAAAATATAAATTTTATATTTGTTGATTATTTAAAATCCAGTATTTGAAAACTTCTATGATGTTGCCTTTTCCTTTTCTACAGATTAAACATAGTTTTTCCTCTTAAGGCTTGCATTCCAACCTTTTTACCATCTTTGGTGCTTACCAGTGAACCTTTCCTGTTTCTGTCTTAAAAATGCAGGGCCCAGAACTGGACACAGTATTTTAGCTGAAGCCTTACCAGTGTTGAGCAGATTGGTTATTAAATCTCAAAAGTCAGTGATTACTACTAGTCCATTTTAATTATGATAAGGTATAGAGTATTAGATGCTCTTATACTGTTAGGTTCTACATTATTTCAAGGAGGTAAAATAAGGCATTCTGAATTGCAAAGTACTCATATTGGCCTGACCCACTTGGATAGTTAGGTTTTCTTCTGGAAGAATTTCAAGACAGTCAGCTTAGAAGTATTAAAGACAAACAACTGAGAGAAACCATCAGCATCCTATGGCAACCAATAGAGGGCAAAAACATTTTACTCAACTAGAGTGCATCAGGAAGTAGAGACTCTTTACCATTTTGACAAAAGTCCCATAAAAAGTCAGCTGACCAGGACTCCCACCTGTGGAAGCACATTAGAGACACCCCTGTGCTTCCATGGCTGAAAGCCCCAATCAGCTGACCAGGGCTCCCAGCAAAGTGACTACACAGAAGCCAAGCTTGCTGGTGCAGGGGGAGCTCATAACCTTATTTGCCCCAGCACCAGTAACAATTAGGATCACTATTAGGCACTATTAGGATCTGATCCTTGATCCCACAATCATGCCACAGAGGTGTGAATGTTGGGATTGCACATCACAGCCCATCATGCCTTTAACATCTGTCAGCAGCTTGTGACTGGTAAGGTAAAGTTAAGAGGTGCAAAAAACTTATGAATCTCCTGTCTTCTGGTTGTCATGTCTCCCCTGTCCCCAGCCTCACATTAATGAGGTACCCCTGAACAGGAAAGGTTTGCTTCCTGTTGAGAGAAACAGTCCTCAGAAGTAAATGAAGGTGTATGGAGGGCTATATTTTTGCCTTTTTGGGTTCAAAGGAGAGAGAAATGCAGCCCTGTACCTGGTCCATCCTCTTTCCATTTGGCTTCACATGTCTTTCAAAGGGCTCAGTAAGGAGAAGGGAGCACAAAGCTACAGAGGTGGCTGAATTCACCAAAGAAGAACAAGATCTTAAAATACAGCTGTGCATATATAGCTGATAAATAAGTAGAATATTACTCTAAAAAGGTAACATATTCCAGGTCCAATAAATCAAGTTCACTTTTATCTTTCCTGAAGCAGAAAACCATCAGTTAGCAAATGATTTAATGGCTTTCTAAAGTGAAATAGGCCTAAAAACAAAATGCTCCAAACATTTAAAGCTGCATATTTGCTTGCTTTAGGCATTAAGCTAAGGTTTCATTTAACTTATCTTGTAGCAAATGTTAAATTTTTAATTGATCTGTGTGCTTTTTTGTTTTATTAACATTAAAAAATACTTGAAATAGTGCCCCAAATAAAGTAAGTGATCCTTTCCAGTTTTACTCATTTTTGCAACACTAACCAAAGTGCTAGACTTTGAAATTTGTATTTTACATTCAATTATGAAAACCTCAGGAATATACATGCATGCTGTTTCATACTGAATTCACACCTAAGAAAAACAAACACCATTATTGAAGTCTCTTCCAACAGCAGCGTATTTGATGGTTGAAGGTTCCCAGGGTGTTCATTTCACTTTAGTGCTGTTGCTTTTTGCATTCTGTAAGCTTTCTTGCTTCCAGAGGACCTGTCATCCTGTTGGAAGAGCAGCTCTGCACACTGTACTGTGGAAACTGTTATGACATGCCTGTTGCCATGGTTACCACAGCAAGTGGGGAGAGGTGCCTGTCAGGGACCAATTTACTTCTCCAGATTGGCACTGCCACCAAAGGGAAGACATGCTTGCCCATAAATCTCAGCAGAGACTGAACACTGAGCAAAAATAAGCTGAATGAACACAAAAATATTTCCCATAGTTAATGTTCCTAAAAAGCACCGCTATACAGAAAAACAGCCAAACAAAATCCAACACTATCTTCTCCCACAGAGATAACTTTACTAAGATATTCAACTACCAAACACTACAACAAGTTACATTATATGCTTTGACACTCTCCAAAACCTATAATAATGAACTTCTACATCAAAGTTGCTACTGTACAACAAAAACAAAGATAATAGCATTATCTATCAATTAAACATCATCATATATTTTATTTAGGTGAGTGAGGTCTATGAAAGCTGCTTTCTTTACTGAATAAGACAAAGATTTGAGATTAAGAACAATAATCTTCATTCAGCAATTATTATATTTAAAATATATAGATCACTCAAACTGTGATTTATTTTAAAACATATGTGAAGGTATGCTGCTCTGAGATATCAAAGCAGTTTTAGTGCTTCAGTGTTTGTTATGTTAAAATGCAAGGCATTTAATTCACCAAAATACATAGTGTCCAATATGTAATTTATTGCTAACTTCCAGTAGCTTCACAAATTATTCCTGAAATATATGTTATGAAGACAGTTGCATGAAAAAAATCTACAAGGAAAAACACTTTTTTTATTGACATCATCATATTTACAACTTTGTTCATTAGCTGCTAGGATAGAATAAGTATGGCTTAGACTTTCATTTGCACAGTATACAGCTACTCTGTTGAAAACCGAGTAAAACTCCATATACACTTTAACAGGAGCCATGCTCTCTATTGACTTTTCTTGTTTACTTCAGCAATGCTTAGGAACAGCTTGTTCCCTGTTAATTATCCCAAGACCTTCTGGGTGCAATCCTAGAGAGAATTTTGAAAACAACATTAGTTACATGATTATGGAAGACACTGAAAGTGCTTAGTACCTGGGGATGGGATCCATCAAATCCTTCCTGGTAAATGATCCTCTGGATGGACTGAAGCAGCCTGGTGTAACCAGAGGTCATATTACTGTTAGTGAGAAGAGAACATTCATTTAATAAATGCATTCTAAAACAGACAAAGCTATGGTTGGGCAAATCATAAGAAAAATAACATTCAGTTTGTGCAAAGATAATTTGATGCTGTATATTGAGAAAAACAGTTGTGATTGCCCTAGCTTAACTAGTTCAGTGCCCTGACATCTTGTGAAAGGTAAAATCTGTAGAGATTAATATAACTTAATTATGCCAGGCTCACTTACCTTCTAGAAAATTAATGATTTAATGAAGCAACTTAAAGATGAAACTACCATGACAGTAGTAATCTTGTATAATTAACACACAGTTAACCAACTGCTATTCCAGGTACACCTGATTGATGTACTGAGTCCATCTCCTACCATTTTCATACAGTCTGATTAATGGAAAAAATGCAATAATGGAAGAGCCATTCAATAGTAACTTTCCTGTATTTGGCTTTATTTTCCTTTCATTAATTTTCTCTTTTAACATAACAAAGATTTAAAAGTATATAACAACATTCTATCATATATTTCCAGGATAGTATTTTTCTACCAAACTCACAGTGGAGTTCGTGAGGATTAATTAAAATTTACAAATCAGTTGGACGAAACAGGGTAAAATTTTCAAAAGTGCCTGAGGCCTCAGGCCACAAATGCATGCCATCCTCAAAAATCTATATCTCTTCTGCACTTAAGTTTTTCCCAGTAAATTCCCCAGGTACCCAGAATTCTGTTTCTGTACATGCTTAGAATGGCTGCTATCTTGGCAAGGTTGATTTACATGGCACCTGTTCTCTGGATAAACCTAACTGGGATTCAGAAAATAGGCTTTCTGTCACATTTCAAAGTGTGCCCTCAAAACACCTAGGAACTTTAAGTTCAGCATAACACAGAGTAGCCATAGCCACTTCAGTTTAAAAAAATGCAGCCAGAAGTGGAGCTCACATTTAGATAGTAACTTAATGGTTAGAGATTATGCCCAAGAAGCAGGAGACCCGGATTCAACTTCATCCTCTTTTCCTTATTTCTTTTTCCTACTCCTTTCTTTCTTCCTTCCTTTCCTTTTTTAAAAGAAAAGGAGTCAGTAGTCCATCTCCAGAATGGGCAACTTAAGATACTTAGGTCCAGGAGAAGATTCTGAGCTGTTAATCCTGATCTCATAACGGAACCCCCCATCAGCCCAAAGAGTGGTGGCATCTGAATTGTACCCCTTCCTCAACATTTTCTTTAGCTGCTTTTTTTTTTTTTTTTTTTTTTTAAAGAGATTCTCCTGCTGCCTGTTGTGATTTCCACTAAGAAGTACCTATTATCCTATGAATTGCATAAGGAACTTAGTTCTTGACTCAGAGCTGACTTGTGAGCCTAATTCTCATTTTCAAAACTGACTTAAATAAACCAGCAAAGTTTTATTCTTGTGCTTAATATTAGGTACTGTCAAGAGTCTTAAAGGCAGAAGAAAGACTCAGTGTATTAAAGTTAAGATTGTGCTTTAGTTGTTGCTGAATTACTGCTTAAAGCTGTGGTTCTCAACGTTTTTAGACTCGAGACAGCCCTCCATAACTTTTGTGAATTAAGCGGCACTCTGTTTAAAAAAAATAATTGATTTATTACAGGACTTACCTCTTTGCAGAGGGGGCAAGCAGTGGGGGTGAGGGAGCAGCTAGGCAGGGAGAGCCTGGCCTTATCTGCTTATTTCCTATCTGCTCACACTTCCTGAGGCACCCTTCAAAGGAAGTCGCAACACCTTGGTTGAAAACCATTGGCTTAAGGAGTTTAAGGCCCATTGAAAATGTTACATTTATTGTCTGATGCCAATCTGGCACTTCACAAAGTGGGACTTCTAAAACAATTTACCTGTAAAGTAATACCACTTTACATAGTAATTTTCACTTTTGTTTGGCTTAATATTAATATGGCTGTTCCATGCTTTAACAAAGACCAACAATAATTCTGAATGTTCCAAATGTGTATCTAAATAAAAATGTAAATACATATGACTTAAGTTGTTCACGTATATTCACTATTTGGTAAAGAGCATGATGAAATTAAAAGTGTTACTGTAGATTCATAAGGACTGTCAATTTAAGTCTGTACTGAATGGAAATAAAAACCCGGTCACAAATAGACCTCTGAAATACTTTCACACACAAACACACTGGTGAGTTTTGCTCCTGGGTCAAAGAAAAGATTCATTTTTTGATTGCTGTTGAATGATTTAACTATTATCTAACTATGAACAAGTGCCTAAAGATTATCAATTAAAGAAAAGTACTTCAATATTTAATTCATGGCTATAACTTTCATAATAAGCATATCTATAAGAGACACAATTACTAAAGACTATAACATTTTATATAAATCGCAGCCCAAACCAGCAGACAACAAACCATCACATTTTGTGAGTGTATGCAATTCAGTCATTCTCTGCCATCAGGAAGAGCCAAGAGAAGGAGTTGTTACATTCTGCTATACATAATTTTACACTATCTCATGCTTGTAAGCCTGGAAGACAAACACTTTTCATTTAATAAAAAGGGACTATTGCCTACTAGTTTCAATCTGTATGTGAATATGATGAATTTGAGAGTTTTCAATGAAGATTAATTGAATGTAGTCTATTTCCATTGTCAATACTGAATACAAACCTTTCTGTGCATTGCTACCTTCACATTAAAAAAATAACAATTCATTTACTATTCTACGAGAAATAACTCCACAGTAAAGTAAACATCCATTAAACATTTATTTTGAATGTGAAAAACAGGTTCTTTATTACCAGCAGCTGAAATATTTATCATTTATTTGACCTTAAGCTGGCATATATAACATGGACATGAAAAATGCTGATTAAATGCTGTGACTTTTATGTTAAACTGTAGTACTCTTTTGGCAATGTTTGTGATAATATATTAAGGCAAAATATAAGATATTTTGTATTTCAAAACTGTTAGTCATTTTTTATTTTAGTTTTGATACTAAGTGGTCTTTAACTCTAATAATGGGTTTAAACAAATTATTCTTTATTCTTTTTTGTTTAGCAATCTAGTAACTGATAAAAACAGGAGTTGGCAAGAAGGTATCCTGGTTACAACAGTGTCTCTGACTTCCCTATTGATAGTTTCTACGCACTTAACAAAGGTTAGGTTATCAAGGGTATGACAAATTGGCTTATTATCTGTAAGTAGACCCCATTAGGAAAGATAGTTTAAACTGTTTCAGCCAAATTTATCTGAAAATCTGTGCTCTACATAAATTTAAGTCCATCCATCTTTTTTCAAAGCACATGCATGCTGAAGGTAGCAAATAATATAAGCAAATCCAGTGCTGAAACGTAAACATCTGATTTGGCTTAATTACCACAGTATCATTTCAGAACAAAGCATTGTGTTAATACCTATAACTGGGTAGCTAGCATAGAAACTATAAAAGAATATCAAGAAGACATTTTCTGTTTGGGTACCCAGATGGTCAGATGCATCATGGGGTTTGTTTTTACCTTCTGAAGTACCAGGATATCCCACAAAGTACAAGTAAAGTGCCTCCTTTGTATTACACACTGGGTACATCTACACCTGCTATTAAAGTGATGTGATAAACTCCAGCACAGTTTGCACTGGAGTAAGCTGCTCCTGGGTCAGCATCTGCATGTGCGCTTGGGACTGCAGCAGTTTGAGCCAGGGCGGAGCAGCCTGAGCTGGAAGCAGGCTTGGGGGCCAGTCCCAGCCTCTGAGTCATGGTGTCTGCTGTTGGAGGGGCTGCCTGAGGCACGAGAGTGTTAAAGTGCAAAGCCATGTGGCAGGTAACCCCTGTACTTTAGCTTCCTTGTGCCCAGGCCACCCCGGTCACTGTCTACACATGCATTTTGGGGCAGTAAATGTCTCCATCGTACGATAGTACTTATGACAGACTTAATTAATTCACTGCACCCTAATACTGACGCACATGTAAACAGTGATGCTTTACTGCAGAGCTTATTTTGTTAGTGAACTCCACAGTAAAGCACACATGTTGATGCACCCAGCATCTGGTAGAGGGCTGCTGTTAATCCCCACCTCAGTTAAGCTTGATCCCATCACCACTGCTGAGAATGAAAACAATATCTTCATAATAAGACTGAAAGAATGAAGAGGGGCAGGGGGAGTTGTCTTCATACTCTTCCCCATATTAATTGTGTCAAATCTTTTTCTCCACTTCTTCAGAAGAGGCATTCTCTTAACCTGTTTCTAATTCTGGGTTACCACTAGACATCCTGACCAAATTATCATTCACACTGGGAATCTGCGAAAATTTTATCACTGAACATAGCTGCTGGGTTTCTACACAGCTAAGAAGAGGCCAAAAACATATACTGCACAGGCCAATCAAGCAGCAAAGAAAATTTATTCTGAAAACTAGAGGCATACAGGGGCAACTAGGCATTAAGAACAGTGGTGATTTACAGCTGTTGGTGCTGCCTGTGTGGCTGCAGCAGTAGCTGTCATTTTTCTGCACTCTCCCCCAAACCAAATGCATATTAATTCTTGCTGTATAACAGACAAAATATTTTTGTTTCTTTTAAATACTAGCACAGTGCTGATTTGCAAGGAAATAACACAAACTACTTTAGAGAGTTTATTAAGTAGTTGTTCTTTAACACCTTGAGTACAAGATATTAGCATGACTTTTGTCTACATTTGTACTTAAATTTTCTTTTTCAAATTGGTGAAGATGAAGAGTATAATGCATACTGCAAGACCCAGGTTTATTTATTTTTTATTTTTGCAAGTTGGACCTTCTACTACAACTCCAATTGTTATCACTTGACATTATTACTCTCCTTTTCAATGTTTTTTTAGAAAAGGAGAAAGAAACGAAAAGCTTCATCAACCTTGAAATATGGCATCTAATACCCAGCAATTAATTTTATGTAGGTTCGTGCCACAGCAAGTCTCTGGCATTACCCAAGTATGGGAATATAATTACCCATGTCTCTTCTTGATAAGATGACTAAAAGAGCATGAACTGAACT